TGCACCAGGTGATGCCAACCCTAGTGATGCCACTGCTCCCAATGCCAAACCCCAGTTGGGAATCAGGTCCAGGAGTTGCATGGGGCTTGTACAAGGCAGAGCAGATGCAGAAGCAGTTGTAAAACCAAGAGCCGATGCACCATCCCATGGCAAAGGAGTCACCGGCTGGTCCTAACCAGCACCAGATCCCATGTGCTCATTCTCTCTCTGCCCTCAACAAACCTGGAAGGCCTCACTTTCCTGCATTCAGGCATTCTTCAAGAGTCAGAGCCAGAATGCCTTTTGCAACAGTTGTTCATTTCCTTGGAAGTAATTGCAAGCAGCCTTGCTTGGGACCCTTGCAACTTCATTGTGATCAAACGCTCATATGATTGAGAGACAGAAGGATTGCTTTGAGGGGGCTGATTTTTCATTGCACAGTGCTAACTGCTACCACACTGCAAAAATAAAGCAGTTTGACACCACTTTAACTACCATGGCTCAGTGCTATGGAAATCTGGGGGGACCAGAGCTCAGGGAAGTCAAAATAGCTCACAAAACTACTCATCTCAGACCTCCATAGCATTCAGCCATGGAAGTTAAAGTGGTGTCAAACTGCTTTATTTCTGCAGTTCTGCAGCTGTAATCAGGTTTTATGTACCATCATGTTCAAAGAATGTCGAATCCCATTTTTAAATGGTTGTACTTTCTGAAACAGTTGCTTCCAACATAGTTATTTCAGGGATTCACTCTCAAATCACCAATCTCAGAAGTGTTTCTGTTATCATCTTATTGGACTTTTAAAGGGAGAGTGCTGTTAGAAATCAATGAGAACTTATATTCGATATGTTAGCACAGATCCCTGCCTTGCCCCATTGTAATTGCTCTGCATCAAAAATCAAAGCTGCTCTAAGTATTCAATCTGGGTTGTTTGAAGAACAGAGCATTTTATCGTTATATTAAATTAATGTCAAAGAGAAGGAGCAGAGGGAATTGGGACACAAAATGTATTCTAAGAATTAGTCTTAGGCATTATCCTTCAAGTACATCTTACTTTAGAAGATGTTTATAAGATGTCCTTATCCTCCTCGTCCCTGGCTTTTGCTCCCCAGTGACATTGCCAAGCATCTGAATCTTCCCGTATCTTTGACCACCGTGACCCCTGATAACCTAGGAAATACTGAACAAAAACAGGTATGCAATATTAAATAATTTAGAACAGTGTAGTGTTATGTACTCTTACATAACAATTATGACCATATGCATCCAATACACATGTTAGGAACAACAATGAACAATATACATGGAACTAATATTGCAATAAAAAAACGCTGGAGGCAATACACAGAAGAGTTATACAAAAGAGATGAGGGAATGAATGATATTTGGAACGAGGGGCCTTATGAAGACAAACCCCAAATTCTAAGAAGTGAAGTGGAATCTGAAATAAAGGAAATGGGAAAAAATAAATCATTGGGAACAGATGATATCCCAATTGAACTGCTACAGTGCCTACAGGCAGATTCAACTTTAGTGCTAACTGGAAAATGCCAACAAATATGGGAAACAAAGCGGTGGCCAACAGATTGGAAATGTTCAATATACATACCAA